GTTGAAATGTGAAGATGTCAATCTTCTTGAATCTTTTCTTAATCTTTCTGATCACAAATATTAAATGTATTGACCAAGTTCCTGGATAGTGTGTTTGGTTCAAGCTACGTTTTATGTATATTAATAAAGTAATTGCTAAAAAAGCCCACAGAAACAAACCTATTCCCAATGAAACTGCTGTAAGTAAAAGAGCAAGAGAAGTGAAGTTGCTCTTGTTCTAAGGAGTACTACTTGCTGAATAATCTTCCTTTAGAAAAGAAGTATGTGAATTAAAGTTACTCAGTTTCAGTCTGTCAAAGTGAAAAGATTAAAGCAGTAAACTCTTACTGTAATTGATATTGCTACTCATTAGGTATTTTAGCTTCAAACCCACATAGCTACATATATACATATATATCTAAGAATCATTAGTTGTAACTCGTTACCTCTGTTCAAGCAGCTGCCAACCTTTAAAAATTATTAAGTTTCATCATGAAATGTAAAGCTGTAGTATTTATTCAGTGCAAAATTTCAATAGAAGATGACAGAGGGCTTGCAGGGTATAGATGTTGAGCCAGTGCCTGCAGAATCAACCCACTGCTATCAATTGAATTTGTCATCTTTAAACCTACAAATAATTCAGCCTTTGAAAAAATGTCATTATGATCTAAATATACTAAGCATCACCCTAAATTGATTTCCCATTTTAATACAGACTCCACAACTCGGAGAAATACTAACAGATCTCAGAGTTTAAGAGCATTGACATAGTGGAAATTACTCTTTTGAGGTTATAAAATACAAAAGTTCCAGTTGTCTCTTCAAGAGCAAAAGGATGAAGGTGCTTAAAAGCACTGCCAGATTTATTGAGATGCAAAATCCAGTGGCTCTTGTTAAAACCTAAAATACCCCCTGAAATATTTGCTTTACTTCCATGAATTAGAATGGAAATGCAAGAGGAAGTAGAAAAAGAAATCTGCTATGCATGGCTTTCCATGGGTTATGTTTGTCAGAATGAAATATAGTAGTAGATTTTATGTTCTTTGAAACTGCTGAATCACAGCTCTGTCACTCGGGCTGGGGAGGCTGAGACCCATGGGGTTTCCTCAGCCTGCTTATGCACACCCTGTGCTCTACCAGTACTGCCTGACTGCAGTTTGCCTGTATTGATAGGAAGTGTCTCTGCTGTCATAGTAGTATGAATGAATATGGACTGTAAAACTGATGGTGGAAGCTCAAATGCCTCCATCCAAGGACTAACGTTGTGAAAGAGCAAAGTCAGACATCTTTTGGTGGAAATTATCTTGTACCATGGTACTCAAATATACCACTAAATTCCCTCTCTAACTTAAGAATGGGGAAATCGGGTGCCAAGAATTGCAAGTGCCAGCAGGCAAAGCAAAGCCAGTCTTCATTGTTGCAAATCTCTCATTTTGAGAGATCTTATTATATCCTTTGCAAGGAACTTTGGTGCCTCACTCTGTAGTTAGGACTACCCCATGTTTTTTCCTTTGTAGATATATTTTCCTGCTTTTAATTTGAGGAATTCTGGCAACTTGGTCGAAGCTGCTGCTGTACTGGGCTGCTACATATCTAAAAGGTCCAAATGGGTTCCACAAAGCATGTGCAGACAACCCTTCTCAAGCATAATGCACATGTCTGTGTTTCTCTTTGCAGAATCTCAGGATGTGGTAGCCTTGCAGGTAACTGCTAAGGAAAATCAACATTGCTGTGTAAATATTAACTACACAACACAAAAATCCTCAAGAGAACTTGCTGTTGTTTAAAAATCATGCTGCTGATCTGCAGAGCTCTAATGGCTCCACTGATAAACTGTCATACTTGCTCAGAATCCTTCTGTTAGTTCTTCCCCCTCATTTTCTTGGCCCTTTGTAAATATTTGTTATCTCTGGTGGTAAAAGAAGAGACTTGGTACAGTTATTCTTCAGTCTTATGTTAGTAAGAGTATCAGTAGGGTTACAGAATTATCAAGCTACAGCTGAATATTCACGTCTCCTTGAATGAGGCTAGGAATTGTGATGAGTTATATTCTTTCTAAGAGAAAAATGTATGAAAGTCTGTTTCAGACTGGTCAATCAAAAACCCCTTTAAAATAAAGAATTTCAGTATGTTGTGGTGCATTCTGTTTTCTCTAAATTCAGGTACATGGTTGATTTACCCTTCAAGGGAGGAGTAAAATTCAGCAAAGGGAAAAAAAAATTATAAAAGCCTGGTTTTGTTTCATTGTGATTCACCTTGAAAGCCTTAAGAAGCAATAATTGAAAAGTAGTACTGAACAAATATTTTGAGTTTTCTTATAGTTATTTTTCTACTTTTGGGGCTTTTATTATTAGTGTTTCAAGTTTTCCTGCTCAACCTCAATGACTACAAATTCAGTGGAAGATTATGTCATATAATTCTGATGGAGTTTCCAGAAACTGCTGAATATTATAGAATTCTATGGAAAATTATGTCAGATTGCAGAGTATCAGGTTGGTTTGGTTTTGTTGTTTGCTTGCTTTTTTTGGTTTGGTTTTGTTTAAGGTTCCCCCTCTGGTCCCTTTATTTCATAATGTGTTTACTTCCCCCTTCTACCAGGAAGAAGATTTTGGAGGCTGGAAATCTAAGGGAATTATGACACTAGGAATACTAAACTGAACCTTATTTACAGACTTGTAAACAGGCTGACTGAAAAACAAAAAAAAATTCTCTAAATGCCTTTTAAAATTGGTCCGCTTGCAGCTTAAACATTTGTGTGTTGGTTATTGAGCATTTCTTGTTCTGGTTCAATTTCCAGCGATTCCTCCAAAAACAAGCTTGAGCACAGTTGGCTTTCTAAGAAGCAGCAGAAAAATATATGCTGTCTTTAGGGGGGAAGAAGCAACATTTAAACTGTTGTTGTGCGTCTTGAAGAAGTGAGGGAAATCCCATACTTATTGTGTTACATAAATCCATACCTTAAGGCTTTACATATATGGTTAATTTGTTTTTTGGAAAAAATCTGTTCCAGCTGAAGTGTATGTGCAGTTAGAAAGTTTTATCTAGGTAAGTTGATGTATACATAAAACATTACCATGACAAATAGGCCAAACAAAAAAATGAACTACCTCATTTGTCTGGATTAATTTAGCAGTGTTATATAGTTACAAGTTTAAAATAACTGCTTTAAGCAAAGAAAAATTATGTCGACACTATGAATGTGCTAACCTTTTTCTTCCTTTCTTTTCCCTTGACTTTTGACAAATGTGTAGACTTTGGGATAGAAGTGTGAATTTATTTACAGGTGACTACTAGATTGTAAAATACACATTAATCTTTCAAAAGGGGGATGAATTCCATCGTCATGTTTTCTCACTCTTGTGTATCTTTAAATTCAGTCTTTGTCATCAGATGATGGTGTTCAATGTAATTTCTGACCAGCTGATACTGTCAATTACTTTCAGAACAAGTTTGAAAAGGCCCCTTTATTGTTAAATGAATAGTCATTCTTGGGTGAAAACAGATGACATTTGGATTTTTATATTTTTGGTTTAGTGCAAGGGACAGTTTCATAGCATTGTTAAAAAACACTGAAGAATATGCATGAAGAAGCACTGAGAAATGTCACACTTTATCAGAGAGTGTTCAATGTTTCCTACTTGGTTTGGTCATGGATTATTCACTGTACAAAGCCTAGTTTTCATGAATTTTCTTTGCCTTGTATCTTGCATAGTTAACACGTACAGTTATCAAAATGATTTTGAGCCACAGGAACTGCAGTGTGTGTGTGTATGTGTACTGCTGTGGTTGTAATTTCAACTGCACTTACCATTTATTCGCAGTAACAGTGGGAGCTCATTCATGAAACTGTTGTCCATATAAGAATTTTACACTTCATCTTTTTTTGATGATTCTGCAATGCAGAATGTTGTCATGAAGAAACATAGTTTATAGGGAGGTAAAATGCTAAGTATTATGGTTGCAGTGTCACATTTTTATTTGAAATTAATAGCTTTCTGTCAGAGTAGTTTCCTTTCCATTGCTTCTGCTGCTCTATCTTCCCTCCTTCATGTTGCATTGTGCTGTCCTTGGAACTGGTGTACGTAAATTAGTTCAACTCACTAAAACAGCAGAGAAATGACTGTGCAATTCACAAATGAATGGATTTTGCTGTTCTACTATTTACTGTGTTGCTTCTTGCTGTGGGACCAGACAAGTTTCAAAGGTGTGACAAAGTGGATGGAATTTTGTGTGGGAAACGGTGCGGCAGAACTGAGTTTGAGGGAAGCAGGGTTTGTGGGGAGGCTGGTTAAACATGACCTCCCCTTCTGGCATTATTCAGTTACTGATCCAGTTCAGCTGAGAGCTTGCTTTGATCTCTTGCTTTTCTTTGAATGCAAGACCTGTGATGGTGCCCATGTATGCTTAATTAAGGTGACAGTAAGGTTTTTAAGACATCCAAGGTTTTACTATGCTGTATATCTTATCACATCTGAAATGTGAAGTTTTTCCCAAGATGATGTGAATATTTGACAGATGCTGCCTGTTGTAGTTGCTTATCTAGGAACTAAGCCACTGTTGCTGAAACAGCTGACTTGGGTTGACAAGTGTTAATACAGAGACTCTTAAAGGGGATGTATAGGGATCTATACATAAACCACAGCCTCTAAACATAAGAAAAGAGTGATCTTTTCAGGATTAATTTCTAAAGAACGTAATTAAAAAACTTTTTTTACATTTGGGTCAACAGGATTGTTTTATCTTGAAAAGCACAAAGCAAAGAATAGATGATCTATGGGACAGCATTACAGATTCAGTAAGGAAATAATATTTTTGTTTTCTTTTGCTAGGCTGCTAAATGATATGAGGCATATGAAATCTCTCTTAAGAAACACAAACTTTTGCAATTTCTAATTACATTTTTAGTGAGACATACCCTCTCTCCTCAGAAAGCAATACATATTTTTTGAATGTGTTTTTAGATTGCATCCACGCTGTTAATATTCTCAAAACATGTTTGTTTCTCAACAGGTATAAAAAAAAATAAATAAATAAAAATGAGTGAACCGGACCATGGAGCATTCTTTAACACTCGCAGGAATAGTGATGTAGGTATGTATGCTATCATGTTCAAATTGTTTTCTCACAATCTAGAATAAAACTACTTATAAAGTATCCTGTGCAATTAGTAACTGCATGTGGAAGCTGCTATAGCATTCTGTTCATAGAATCCTAGAATGGTTTGGGTTGGAAGCGACCTGACCTTAAAGATCATCCAGTTCCACCCCAGCCATGGGAGGGATACCTTTCACTAGATCAGGTTGCTCAAAGCCCCATCCAGCCTGGCCTTGAACACTTCCAGGGATGGGGCAGGCTCAGCTTCTCTGGGTGACCTGTACCACAGCCTCAACACCCTCACAGTGAAGAATAACTTCCTAAGATCTAGTCTTAATCTCCCCTGTCAGTTTAAAGCCATCCCCCCTTGTCCTATCCCTATTAAACCCTTGTAAAAAGTCCTTCTCCAGCTTTGTTGTTGGCCCCTTTAGGCACTGGAAGCTGCTCTAATGTCTTCCTGGAGCCTTCTTTTCTCCAGGCTGAACAAGCCCAGCTCTCTCAGCTTGTCCCTATAGGAAAGGTGCTCCAGCCCTCTGGATCTGCTCTAACAGGTCAGTGTCTTTCTTGTACCGGAGACCCGAGCTGTATGTAGTACTCCATGGGGGTCTGGTAAGAGCACAGTAGATGGCAGAATCCCTTCCTTCAACCCGCTGGTCATCCTTTTTTGTATGCAGCTTAGAATACAACTGGATTTCTGGGCTGTAAACACATATTGCCAGCTTATGTTCAGTTTTCTGTTCACCAGGATTCCCAAGTCCTTCTCCACAGGGCTGCTCTCAATCCATTTGATGCCTGGTCTGTACTGAGACTGGGGACTGCACTGGTGGCTGACTTGAAAAAAATCTTTCCACAACAAGACATCATCTAGTGTCATGTTGTCAGACTTTCTGTACGCATGTGGTAAATGAAAATCCTTAGGGGAGGCTTGAAGTAGGATCAAGGGATAGTTTTGCAGGATTTACCTTAATGTTTTATATGGGACCCCTCTGTAAAACTGTATGTCAGAAATACTGCTTCCAGCTACTCTGCTCTTAAGAGAGAATGGAAATAAATTTTTTACTAAGACCTAATGGTAAGTTTTATTACTAAAGGAACATAAAAAAGAGGTTGGAAAGAAAGGCCCATTCCTTATCTCTATAAGCTTCCTACCTTAGTTACTGAGGACAGTAACTACCAAGTTACTGAGGACATGTGTGTTAAAGCTTTGCAGCACTGGGGCAAAAGTTCAAGTAATTTCATTTACCATTATATTTGTATCTCAGGCTTTAGCAGATATTTGTTATAGAAAATTGTGAAAAGGCATTTTAAAATCTCAAAGTTCAATATTTTATATTTTTATTCATGTGTCTATTTACGTGTATGTATTTGTGGGTATATACATACCTATAAAATATATATAAAATATGTTAGCAATTAAATAAAGTTTGCATCCTGTATGCTAAAACTCTGATTTTGCATTGAATCTCACATGGATAGACCCTTTTGACTTCATAAAATTCTTCAGTAGAAGAAGAAACAGATGAAGATTAGTCATAGAGATTCATAAGGCTCAGATATATAGGCTAAAGAAAAAGCATATTGAAAGCAAAGATACAATTAAATTATTTGGGGTTAGAGGTGTGGAAATTGAATCTGTCTTTCACTCATTTTTTCTTGGATGTGAGGGACATTATTATGTTGGTGAAGACGAGTTACCTGAGTGAGAGAGTACCTGAGGTACCTACTTTCTCTTACATTACTTCTATATGTAGCTATGTATATTTATATGTTTTATATAAAACTTGAAGAGTGTAGAAAATATCAGATTATATTGCTAAATTAAACTTGTGACTTTCAGAGACAACTCTAAGGTTTTCAAACATTGCTGCGTTTTTTGCTTAGAAACCCAAAATAGTAACACCTTTCTATATCTAAGCACCACCAAATTTAACCTTTTTAAGTAAATGGATTGTCTCCGCTTGTTTCCTGTTCTCTGAAACATTTTTATGTGGTTAGAACAGATTAAGGCAACCCAGCCATAGGAAAGCAGTGCTTCTCTCTGCTGTTTTACAGCAGTCCATATTCTCTCCATCTATTCATACAGTGGGATGGTTCATTCTTCTTTCCTCTTTGCTTTCTGCACTGTATTAGTTATTGCTTCCTGTACATCAGTATACACTTCTACAGTTTTTGTCCTGTTTTTCCATGCTTTTTTTTGTCAGCTCTCTTCTCTCATATTGTGAGAAAGAAAGGGTGCAAAAAAGATTACATGAATTTGTATTTTGTTCACATCCCCTGTCCTTACTAAACTATAGTGAAGAATAAAGCTGTCATAGAGGAAGTAGGGTTTGAAAAGCCAGTGGTGAGTGAGAGCTGTCAAACAGGTACAGCAAACTGTATTTACATTGAAGTTTAAGGACACGACAATGCTGACATAGACCAAAGAAAGCTGGTCAGGATACTGCAGTTGTGAGTGCCATACCCAGGAAGGGTTTCTACCCCTGGATATCTATACCACAATTCAGAACAAGTGGTGTGGGAGATCCATGCTAGTGAAATCATGCAGGTATTCTTTCAATCAGGAATTGGAAGATTGAGTGGCTAAAAGTTGACTGTAGCATAAGGGCTTTGTTGCTGCATGCATGGATATGTGTGCAGGATGCATGTAGAATACTTCAAAAACATTGACACTAGGTACTTAGAAGAGGTTTCTGCAGCAGCTGCAACAGGCTGCTGGAAGATGACAGTGTCATCGAATCATAGAATAGTTAGGGTTGGAAAGGACCTTAAGATCATCTAGTTCCAACCCCCCTGCCATGGGCAGGGACACCTTACACTAAACCATCTCACCCAAGGCTTCGCCCAACCTGGCCTTGAACACAGCCAGGGATGGAGCATTCGCAACCTCCCTGAGCAACCCATTCCAGTGCCTCACCACCCTTACAGGAAAGAATTTCTTCCTTATATCCAGTCTAAACTTCCCCTGTTTAAGTTTGAACCCATTACCCCTTGTCCTATCACTATAATCCCTAATGAAGAGTCCTTCCCCAGCATCCCTATAGGCCCCCTTCAGATTCTAGAAGGCTGCTATGAGGTCTCCATGCAGCCTTCTCTTCTCCAGCCTGAACAGCCCCAACTTTCTCAGCCTGTCTTCAGACGGGAGGTGCTCCAGTCCCCTGATCATCCTCATGGCCCTCCTCTGGACTTGTTCCAACAGTTCCATGTCCTTTTTATGTTGAGGACACCAGGACTGCACACAAAACTCCAGGTGAGGTCTCACAAGAGCAGAGTAGACGGGCAGGATCACCTCCTTCAACCTGCTGGTCACGCTCCTTTTGATGCAGCCCAGGATACTGTTGGCTTTCTGGGCTGTGAGCACACACTGTAGCTGGCTCATGTTCATTTTCTCATTGACCAGCACCGCCATGTCCTTCTCCGCAGGGCTACTCTGAATATCTTCTCTACCCAGCCTGCAGCTGTGCCTGGGATTGCTCTGACCCAGGTGTAGAACCTTGCACTTGTCATGGTTTAACTTCATGAGGTTGTCATCAGCCCACCTCACAACCATGTCGAGGTCCTCCTGGATGGCATTCCTTCCCTCCAGCATATCAACCGAACCACACAGCTTGGTGTCATCAGCAAGCTTGGTGTCATCAGCAAGCTTGCTGAGGGCGCGCTCAATCCCAAAGGTGTTCCACTTCTGCGTTGACACTTACCTGCATCATAATATGCTATCCTGGAATTAACTGGGGATCTGATGGTCCTGGAACACTACATGTGTTTCAAAGGTCATGAGTTTCACAAGCAGCATACCAAGAAGTTTTGCTTAATGATTTCTAGCTGTAGTTAATTTCATTTAGTAATACTACTAACACTAACTGATTCTTTCCTAATGAATATGACAGGATACATCTGCTGTGAACTTATCTCCTAGGTGCTCCCAGGCGTTTGCCTGCAGGGAGCCTGAAATAAAAATGTTAATGGCGTTGCTGTGAAACTCCAGTCATGCCCTGCTGCTCATGCATGTGGACATGATGTTACTGCCCGAAATGATTCCTAGCAGGCTAGAAGTGATTGTAAGCCTTTGGGAGCAGTAACAAACGAGTAATAGGTTTAGGAGGAAGAAATGAAGAGTGGCTTTTCAGAGGGTTTGGCAACAGAACTTTTACTTCTTTGAACACGGAATGATGTTCTGTGATCTTTGCTGGACAATGTTGTAAGCAATCTCAGAAAGAAGATAAAAAAAAAAACTGCACATAAAATCTGGATGATTTAGGATTGAGATTCAGTTTTGGATTGATGACAGTAAAAGCCTACAGATAAGCAAAGCTACCTAGAGGCCTAAAAACTGAAAGGAGATTATTCATACTAAGCTCAGAGAAGGGATAAAATGAAAGTGGATCAAACTATTGAACTTTTTTTGTGTAAGGTATATAGAGAATAAAAAGGTAGTCATAATGCAAGATCAAAGCTATAACCTGGTTAGCATAATACTGATTGGGTGGAATAATGCACATGTTATGAAGATTAGTGGCAAAGAAATCAGGATTGGCAAGCAGGAGGAGAAGAAAAAGCCTTTCTTTATGTAGGTGAGAAGTGGAAGCTGCAAAAGGATTGCCTGTGGAAACCAAACGTTATGAGTAGAGGGAAAGAAGGACACAGTTCTGCTTTGATGAGAGTCTGCCACAGGCCAATAAGCCAGGAAGACCTGATTAATATTAGGCAGCTATGTACCTGAGGTTACCTTGAGTGTGCTTCTCTTTCTGTTGCCAAATCTCATTTGGACAGGATCTGCAGCTTTGATTTTCTGCTTTCATTCTGATATGGCTGATAGTCTTCTCAGTCCTTGGGTCACCCAATGTTAGGTGTATACATAATATATTTTGGATTAAAGTGGCCATGAAGTGGTGGAAATAATCATTCTTAAGAAGTTGGTGAGAGGGGAGAGAAATGAAGGCAGTGGATTTCAGGAATGTGAACATAAGCTCAGGTGAGTTTATGTGGTGTCCTTAAGGGATCGGTGTTGGGACTGGTCTTGTTCAACGTTTTTGTCAGTGGCATGGACAGTGGGATTGAGTGCGCCCTCAGCAAGTTTGCCAATGACACCAAGCTGTGTAGTTTGGTTGACACGCTGGAGGGAAGGAATGCCATCCAGAGGGACCTTGACATGGTTGTGAGGTGGGCTGATGCCAACCTTATGAAGTTTAACCATGACAAGTGCAAGGTCCTACACCTGGGTTAGAAGAATCTCAGGCACAGCTGCAGGCTGGGTAGAGAAGAGATTCAGAGTAGCCCTGCGGAGAAGGACATGGCGGTGCTGGTCAATGAGAAAATGAACATGAGCCAGCTACAGTGTGTGCTCACAGCCCAGAAAGCCAACAGTATCCTGGGCTGCATCAAAAGGAGCGTGACCAGCAGGTTGAAGGAGGTGATCCTGCCCGTCTACTCTGCTCTTGTGAGACCTCACCTGGAGTTTTGTGTGCAGTCCTGGTGTCCTCAACATAAAAAGGACATGGAACTGTTGGAACAAGTCCAGAGGAGGGCCATGAGGATGATCAGGGGACTGGAGCACCTCCCGTCTGAAGACAGGCTGAGAAAGTTGGGGCTGTTCAGGCTGGAGAAGAGAAGGCTGCATGGAGACCTCATAGCAGCCTTCCAGTATCTGAAGGGGGCCTATAGGGATGCTGTGGAGGGACTCTTCATTAGGGACTGTAGTGATAGGACAAGGGGTAATGGGTTCAAACTTAAACAGGGGAAGTTTAGACTGGATATAAGGAAGAAATTCTTTCCTGTGAGGGTGGTGAGGCACTGGAATGGGTTGCCCAGGGAGGTTGTGAATGCTCCATCCCTGGTGGTTTTCAAGGCTGGGCTGGACAGAGCCTTGGGTGAGATGGTGTAGTGTGGGGTGTCCCTGCCCATGGCAGAGGGCTTGGAACTAGATGATCTTATGGTCCTTTCCAACCCTAACTATTCTATGAGGTTCTTTCCAACTCTAACTATTCTATGAGGACTCCATGGTAAACTTGAGGTAACTCAAGTTTGGGGAATATGTCAATCCCTCAATGAAGCTTCTTAAAGGGATCATTTTAAGTAACCTTTTTGTGGTGAAAGACCAGTTTGGTTAAATCTTTATTGATGTCAGATGCCTTTTCAGTGAAACTACTTTGTGTGGGGTTTTTTTTGGACAACAGTCTGTCATAGTCTTTCAAATACTGATGGCAGGACTGGAGAAAGTGGACATTATTATCCATTCTGTTTGCAGCAGAAGCCAAGGGTGATGTTTTTCTTGCAATTTAGTGCCTTTCTCTTTGAGGAAGTATGTTGTTTTCCCAGGGTCCTACAGACATTTAGTAGAAAAATGATGCTGTTTCTAATGGCTGGGTATTCAATGGAAAATGTAACTGCAACTCACTCTGTTTACCTATCATTGGTAGTTTATATAATGTTAGGAGAAAAAAAAATTCCTATTGCTTAATCTAGATTACAATAAATATTGAGGTAGTTTTCCAGTTTGTGAAATAAGAATGCATGGGTTGAAATTCACATATTTCTTTATTAGAAATTACTAAAATTTCAGTAAGCATAGTTTAAAGGAATTATTCTTTAGGTTCACATATTAAAAAAATGTTTTTAAACTTTTTGTGAGCAGACAAATGGTAATTTTTTTTTATATAGCTTCTACTATCTGATGTTTGTTTCAAATTCTTATTTATCAAATAACAATCTCTTGGTTATGAAAACTTTTAATATTTAAAATAAACTGTTTCTCAGTTCTATCTATAATGCTTTCATTTTATGACCCATGCTTAAAATATTTCTCCAGAATTTGAAATGACTGTGTTTTATGTGATAACTAGAAAATCTGGTGATTCCTGTAAGAGATGGCTCTTTCAGCTCTAAGTATAAACCTGTTGACTACAAACATCTATATGAACTTGCTGCAGTAGAAAAAATGGCATCTGAAAAAATTCAAATAAAGGTATGGTTTTTATATTATTTGTAATATGAGTGACTTTAAAATTAAATAATCATGTTTCTTTTCACTGCCCAAAGGAATCTAAGAATGAATAGGGATAACAAATTGCTGTAACAGTGTTCAGCAAAAGGGGGCAAATGATAGGGAGTTTATCACAGCGTTGTTGTGATTTGGACATATTAATGGCAAAGCGTGGAAATTCTTTGAATGTGGATTTGTTTTACTGAAAAGACAGGAAAAATCTGTATTTGAGTGCTTTGAGGAAAATCGTCCAGGCTCATTATGAGAGTTACTCAAAATACTGGGAGTAATGAAGAATTTATAGGAATAAATGGGAAGCGGAAGTTGATCCAGAAAGAAACAAAAATAGGTGAAGTGAGGATTTTGAAAAGTCAACCTGAGGCAGATCTTGAAAGAAAATTGAAAGGGTTTTATAGCTATCGAATGTAACTGTGGAGCTAGACAGATAGAAAGGTATAAATAGCTGATATATGGCCCAAGTGGTAAGAACATAGCTTATTTAATACTAGTAAAGTTTAATGAAAACTTTACTTTTATTAAGAATTACGATTATGTGTTGACAGAGCAGGGTCACTAGCAGAACTGGAGAAGCAGCAAAAGTCAGGGCTGTCAAACTGGAAAGAAGACTTAAGTACCAGTTTTTCTCCATCCACTAATGCAATTTCACATATTCATATTTTCTGTAATTCTGATCTTAGAGGCATTTAATAAGTCCATGCAGCAATGGGTGATACCGTATGAGTTGAAAATAGCAAAGCAAATAAGTATATTAAGATTTTGGAAGCACTTTTGGCAATGATACACCCAAAGTCCTCACTGACGTGAGTGTACATGAGAGTACGAGGTGAAGAGAAGGATTTGTAAACACAAGAAAGAAAATGGAAAGTAGAACCCATCTGTAAATATGGGAGAGGACAGGGTGAACACTGGTAGCTCTCTAGACAGCCTCACTTCATCCTTTACATTAGGCATATGACAAACATTGTGACAGAGTTCTACCTTTGCAGAATAAGAACCAAATATTAGAGAAAATGTAAAGAGAGAAAGATTAAGATATAGCTCAGACATAGCTAACTAGAATACTGCATGTGACCTTCATGATTATTGTACATCTCCTCCATGTCTTCCCGAATAATAAAGGAAAAAAAATCCACATAAGAAAACCTGAAGCTCTAAAAGAAAAAAAAAGTCCTTGCATGTCTAAATCATATTTAGAAGTTCTTTGAACTGAAGTAATTAAATGAAATACTTTGGTTAGCAACATAACCATATACTTTTTTTTTTGCTGTTATTGTTCTGATGCTCTTTCTTAAATCCTAGTGAATGGAATATACACAGTACCAACAAGCATAATTTACTAGTTTCTACTACTATCCTAAAGGCCTTGCAACAAAAAAGGGGGTTGCTCGTGCAGCTCATCTCTCTGTATTTAAAATAGAAAAGTGTGATAGTGAATGAGAGAAAAAAATGCATACTTTCTTTATCGTATAGTTTCCTTTAATGCATGTGAGTATAAATATGTCAGAAGTGCTGGCAGATATTTCTTCATGTATTGGCAGTACAAAATTCTACTGAATTTATTCAAGCTTTAAACTAACTTTTCATCGTCTGTCTTTTGGTATTTCACCTTTTCAAGTGTTTTCCAACTGAGTAGGTAGTAAAATATATATGCTGAAAGCTCCACAGAGAATAGAATGTGTTCCAACTACTACTTTTTTGTTGCTGATTCAGGCTATCCAAATTTCAAAGTGCTGAGTTACTCTTTCAGTGAATTAGAACCGAAGAAGTAAACGGTAAATCAATTGCTGGCCATTTAAGAAAGAAAAATATAGCACATACATAAAAAAGCTAATATTGCAGCAGTTAGGCATATAATGTCATTGTTGGTGTTATAAAATAATTTCTAGAGCATATTAAACTTTCTGTACAGAACTAGTTCAACTTTTCACTTAAATTTTAGAATTGATTTGAAGATATATGTATTTTCAGATTACTTCAAATACAGTATTCTGTTTGCTGAAGTCTGGTTTTAAGCACCTAATGGTAATCAAGAGGAAGCTGTAAGTAACATGAAAATACGTAAGCAATAAAAATAAGGAGACATTATCTTCGATTCAGAAGCATTGTAACATACCAATTGAAAGCATAAAACTGGTGCTTTAAAACTTTCTTATAGTACAGTCACGTATGCAGCTTCCTATAAACACCTGTTTCTCATTCAGAGTCGCATCATGTCTCCGTAGCATCTATTGCAGCTACTTACCTAAGTAATACCCACTAAAGCAGGCTTGCTGCAGAAGCACGATGATTCTTCACAGGGAGAACCACATTCTAGCACATTTTAGCTTTGCTGGTGGGTGAATGAGGGGCTCTGATTAAGAAGTGATGGGATTCTTGCTTACCTGTGCATGAGTCCTGCAAGGAAACGTTCAGTGAACTTTCTCTTTGAGAAGCCTGCTGGTGTCACTTGCCCAGGGAGAACACGCTTGTAGTAGGTTTGCTCTCCCTGTTTTTATGCATGTGAACGCAGAGAGGGTAACTGTGTTTTTTTTCCAACTTTCACCAAGCAGGAAAGTTGACTAAGCATTTTAAACAGCAGATTACTTCTTCCTGAGCCATGTGGAAAACCAGCATTTTTTACTTGAAACGTTAATTCTTTCCTGAACTGGAACTGGATGTGGAGTGACATCTTTATTCATTTCTTCCTGTTATGAGCCAGGGAGCCAGGACAAGACTTTCCTTTTTTTTTTTTTTTTTTTTTTTTTTTTTTCCCCGCTTGTCTTGCTATCATTCTGCAGTAGAATAATGTATCTGCATGAAGTGTGGTCAGGGGAAGGAAAATAAAAAGGTGGGTGTGTGAATTGTGGGAGCCTCTGGAATCAGAAGGGTGTTTGCAACCAGAAGAAGTTGGCTGCGGCAGGGATGAGGTTAGGTGTAATGGAGGAAGATGGTGGCAAGGTGGCAAAAAGAGAAGGAGCAGGAAATGAGCCAGTTCTGAACTGAAATGCTGCTTTGTCCTGAGTGTCCATTAAGAGGCCAGAAGGCAGTTGTGATGGTAGGAGGATGACAGAAAACTGACTTGTCTCAGGGGCTTCTGACAACCATAGACTTCTTATCCTTTTTCTTTCACTGTTGGTTCGCCAGAGTCACCTGGCTGCCACTTCATCAGCCTTTCCCTGACTGCTTTTCTTCTAGTTTAAGCAGTAACTCCATCTGTCTCAAAAGCATGTATTTTTGTTTCATCTGCAGTTTGAAGCAATGTTTTGTGAAGCCCTCAGAGAGTTTCAGAGCCTCTTTAATTGGACAGATTTTGAAAAAGCACTCTTTTTTAGTAACCAATTTTTTGGTTTTGGGGTGGTTTTTTTTTGTGGTTTTTTTTTTTTTCCCCCAAAGACGCACTTTCACTTTTTCATCTTCCCACCTTTAAGAAAGTGTATTTTTCTTTCTCCTGCACATCTTTCCCCCATTCACCTCTTGTGTAATGGGGATGGGAAAGAAAGGGGAAAAAAGGGAAAGAAAAGGGGGAAAAAGGGAAAGAAGGGAAAAAAGAAAATGGACTGCATTTTTTTCCACCTCCTCTCATTTAATTGTGATTTAAATAGTTTGTTTTTTGGTTTTTGTTCATGAAAATTGGGTACATTTGAACCTGTTGTTCTTTAGAAAAAAAACAGTTTTGAAAAAAACTGTTTTGAAAAAACTTTTAGGTTCACCATTCTATAGTTAAAACTTTCCATGTGAAAGCATTTAATAAAGCTATTGAACAGATTCAGATACTTACAAGCTTTAATTTTTCCTGCAGATTAAAAAAACAGAGCAATTTTCAAAAAATAACAAAGAGCAAATGCTGCTGAAACAGCATCGGCAAGTGTGGTGGCAGGAGCATAAAAGACTGAGTGAGAACAGGTAAAAGCTGAGGAATAATTAGCCATTATTAAACAAATACTTCTGTAGAAAGAGATTCTGATGTGGCATACTTGATTCAAAGGACATTAGGAGGAAAATATTAAAATATCTGAAATGAAGATTTTTTTTTGTGCAGGGCATGTGAGTTTGTGATCTACATTGGAAGGGGCCTGTAGACATTAAGAGAACACAGAAAGGGAGGGGAGAATAGGGTGGATGTTGTTCTACCTGTACCTCTCCCTGATGGTCTTAGCTGTTTAGTTGTCCTATCAACATCTGAAGAGCATGTATTTGTAGGACTATCAGAAGTTTTCAGATGCTTTTTAATTTCTTCAGAGTCTGTCTCTAAAAGTACATATTGAGTTCATGCTTAGAACAGGGAATGTTAATGTTCTTGTCTATTAGCTTGTGTTTTGTGTATACATACAGCAGATCAATGAGAGTATTTGTTGCTTGGAGGGATGTGACTTCCATACCACCCAGGACAATGTCCAAGTTCTGCACTTCATACCTTCCCAGGCAAAGAATTCCCCTTTTTACTTAATTATTAGAGTATTTGAGGCTTAGCATTCTTGAAAACATAAGGAATAAGAAATTGAAACTTCTGTAAAACTCATATTCATACCTTCCAGGGAAAAAGCAGAAGCAGAAATAAAGGCTTTTCTTGATGAAGAAAGCCATAAGCACAAATTTTTTCTGGATATGAAGGACTTGGGTAAGAACTTTTTATTTGTTTCTTGATTATTTATTAGAATCAAAATTATCTTAATTATTTGAGTTTTAAATCTCTGTCTTGACAGGTTTAGATTTAAAAACCACAGTGCTGTGTAGTATCTTGTGTGTTTGAGAAAGTTTTATGTTTTATTTGGATATAGAGCATAAATTATCAGAGGAGCGGGATACATACCAAGCAAATACTATAGCTCCTATCTGGCAACTAAAAGAGAATTTGAAACTATGGCTGAATGAAATGCAGTGTTACCTCTCAGAAGAATCTTGTCTGAAATCGGAGATCAATCCAGTTGAGATGTTACAACAGGTTGGTATTTTAACTTTATTTTTACAATTTATTATCACTGTATTTTTAGCATTTTCATTTATTTTTATGTATTACTTTGAAATTATAACTCGTATTCAGAGTATCCCATAACCTCTTTACCTGCCATAGTATAACTTTGCTTCACTAAAATCTATAAAAGCATAGCATTGTAGAACTGGAAATCAGGCTCTTTGTTTCAAAATAAGAGATTTCATATTAAGACCAGATGAAGAAGTAACAGTAACTTATTTCATGAAACAGATCAAATTTGTGAAAAAGCAACAGAAAGCAATTTTGGAATTCCTTATCCTTGAAAGTTTGGCTTTGCAAAGAGAGGCGGAACACTATAAAACAAAAGTAAGCTTTTCCTTGTAAGTTTATTTAGCAGTTTTTTGAGGGAGAAAATACAATGCAGAATAGTCTGCTGAGCAGCATTTTTTATCACAGGCATTAGCACATTCTTTTGAAGAGAAAAATGGACTTTTCCTTGAAGTTCCTTCAGCACTACTGTCTTTGGAATGCCCCTACCCTGATTTGAAAACCTTCCTTATCAATGAATGCCGAAAGCTTGCAAGCAGGTACTGGTCTAAGCTTCAGGAGATTGATCAAGAGCTAGAAGTTTTATGTAGGTAATGACATACGTTTCTGAATTTCTTCTTTTGGGTATAAAATAAGTAACTATAATGTGTTTTGTTATCTATAGATCCTGCAGTTGCCTTTACCATTAGAGTTGGTTCTGTCAGAGCAGAGAATAGTTGATGCACTGCCTGGCAATCTGGGGTTAAATAGTCAGTTACTGTTGACACAGCTGAGAGAGTTGAGGCCGTCCTTTCAAAAGCTGTCATCTCAAATAATAAGTGAAATGTTTTGTGAATTAAAGAACCAACAATCTGGTGTACATCAAATATCCTCTTTAAATGCTTTTGTATGAATAGAGATGATCCTTTCTGTATGGTAATTACACTATCAAATTTATGCCAGAAAAGTACAGTCTTTGAGAGACATCTAGAATGTATTTATCTATAAAGCAGATAAATAGGTCCAATCTTTTAACAAATTTTGGATTGCTGCAGTAATTCTCATCACAAAGAAATGTAAAAAAAATGTATGTAGCTCTGATTCAGATAAACTGAAAGGAGGAGGTATTTTTCTGTAAACAAAAAAGTTTATAGAAATAACATAAATTTAATGATCTAGAAATGTAACATAGCCATATAGTATTAGTATAAAGCTTAGCTTTTCTGCTGAGGCTAACTTGAGTTCAGGGGATACTGAGTTTGCAGATGTTGGACCATCCTTAACTTCTATTTGCTATCTCTTGATATTTCTCTGGCTTAGAAGGAAACAGGTTTTAAGAAGACTGAGAATAGAAAGGTCAGAATTGTTTGAATCCTGGGCAAAAGAACTGGGGAGAGCAGGGAAGTTCCTAAGTTTCTTTGGTAAAACAATCACACACTGCTTCTAAATCTCCCGCTTTTTCTAGATACGCTTACAGCGCACCACTTAAATCTTCTGCTACTGCTGCTGAGTTTGAGGGTACTGAAACAGGTTTAAAATGTTGGATCCCGTAGGAAGTGATGATATATTCCACTGTTTTTTTGATACATTGTACAGGTATTCTGTAGGTTCTTGTGTTATCTGAAGCTAGTATATTAGTTGTGTAATATTCTAGCTATTATGATAGGATACTTACTGGGAATTGTTCTGATCTTTCCCATATTTTTAATTATTAAGCAGCAAGTGGCAAATTTATGGCAGTTCCTTTGCTGCTGTCTTTTATATTTTGTTACAGTTGCTCTTTTGGAGGAAGTTTCAAAAACCTCTGTGAGAAAATATGTGACAAATACTAAATCGTTAAATACGTACAAGTCTTTCCTAGTGGCTTTAATTAAAATTGTGTTAAAGTGTGAGCAACACAATTTTGGTGAAAATTTATAAATTTAAATCTTTTGATCCACACAGCATGTGTGCTACTGAATAATAGACGGACATCAATGTAGGCAACGGAATCTACGAAATGGGTGAAAAATCTACCATGGTATTTTCATTGATCATGTGTCAGGTTTGAATTTAGGTGTTGAGCTAGCTTATTTTGCGCTGATAAATAACGTTGAAACTTAAAAGATAAAATACGATATTTGGAAGAGAAATTCAGTTGGCATAAAAACATATGCAGTGGTACTTTGAAGGAATTAATTTATGGTAGCTAGTTGGGGATAAAAGAAATGGCTGTAGCTGGAAAAGATGCTGGTGGTAGGGGCAGCGGCAGCAGTCTGCTGGTGGGATGGAAGGGTAGGTTGCGTAGGACAGTTTACTCAATTTGGATCAGCCTATGCCTGTATCGTTAGCTGGGAATGTATGAAATCATAAATGAACCATCAGTAATTATCTTAGCATTTTATTTAGAGCTAGGTCTTTTTTTTGTTTCCCTTCTGGTCTTCAAGTCTTTAATGTATTGCTCATTTATGGTTCTATGATTTTATCCACAACAACATTAAAAATGTGTTTTCAATAAGAAGCTTGGTTCTTGTAGAATTGCTTACTTCCAAGATACGGGTTTTACAAAAGACACAACTCTCTCTGTCACTTCTTAGATTTATATTGGCTAACTTGCATGAAAATATTATGCGAGTTTACACAAGATACAGCCTTGTGATTTAAGTATTCTGTAATTCATCAAGCTAACTTTGATCCAACTAACACGGAAAATACTGTCAAAAATGGAGTGACAGGTTTTTGATCTTGGCATGTACCCACTGTACTCTGCTGATTAATACAACCTTAATGAAGCCTTTGCTATTGTTGTCATTGTTCTATAGCCAAAGATACCAACCATTCTCCTGCAATACTTTTTTCTCATGTTTGTAATTTGAGAAGTTGCTCAGCAGAACAATATAATTATGTAACTAGTTACTTCCTCTGAGGATTGTTTCTCTGTTGTTCTTCTCTCATCATATGCGTTAATGTACAGCAAAGAAACCTTAAGTTAATGCTAGTCTGGCATTCCACATCTCATTGTTTAACTGCTCAGACTGTCTGGAACAGAAAATTTGGAAAATGTGCATGGAATTTCCAAAGAAGAAAAATCAGAATAAGATAATATTCAGGTCTGCTATACTCTTTGTGCGCTTTTCAGTCATACTAGAATGATCATCACAGTGTTTATTGCTTTTGCAAACTGAAGAATTTGGTTGGTGTTTTTGGTTTGTTTGGGTTTTATTTTTAAGCATAATATAGGATTATAATGCTTTATAATCTGAATTCACTTCTTTTACTGCTGCTAAACCACAAATTTTTGTGTTTGGGAAATACCCAAGTCCTGAGTTATCCCACAGATTGTGCAGTTGGAATTGATGTATTTGTTATAGCTGAAGATTCCATAAGCACTTAATTATATTTTTGCCACAATCTCCAAGGGTGTCCAAATTATTTAAATAACTGATGGATTACTGTAGTAGTGCGTATTCAGCACTGCGTCTTCTGTAACACCATTTCAAGTGAATGGGATATTAGGACTAAGACAAGTAACTTTAGTACCTCTTTTCAGGTCTATTACCAGGATGTTTATCAATCAGCAATGCCATAATTAATAGCAGGGAGTTAACATCTCACTTGGTGGTATGTTGCAGTCTGCCTCTGCAAATTCAACAAGATGGCAGTGCATCAAGTATGTGTTGCTGTTGTGAAGTATATATGGGGATTATAGAGTGCAGAGGGTAGCTTCCCTGCAGAGTTGTTTATATTCTTCAGCATGTGTAAAGCCATGGATTAATGGCACATAATCTGTTTCAAAGGAAGCAGCTGCCTCAGGGTTGTTGATTATAGGACAATTGCTGTGTTTCAGTTCTGAAACAAGATCAAGATTGTACTGTTTTCTGGTAGAATGATACAAGAAAAGCAAACACTACATTTAAAATTTGGGTCATGCATCCAGCCTTGTAAAATCTGTCAGTATTTTGACACTGAAGAAGCCTGGTATTAGCTTAAATATTAATGTACAATGTGTTGGCACTTTTCAAACTCATTTTAGATGAGATCTTCCTTTCTGGAATTTTACAAAAGTTTAAGTGAGGTGACAACTTGAATTCAGTCAGGCAGGATATTTTGGAATTTCCATGCATTTAACGGTCACAAATATATTGGGCTGGATCATCCTTCTGTTTTTTTGTCTATGAACAGCTGACAAAATCTCAGCACAGCTGACAAATTTTGGCACAGCTGACAAACCAAGGCATTGGCAGTCAGTCTGTCCCTCCTTACAATGAACTACTTGTAGCTCTAGATCTAGCTGATTTCTCCCCAGAGTATTATCCACAAACCTTAATTTCTCCATCTTATTCCTGTGCAGAGATTCACTGTTAGCTGGTCATTAGAGGAATGTACAAGTCAGAGGGAGCCTTGAGAGATATGTGAGATACAGGAGGCAGAAACCAGTGCAGCAACTGGTGCCTCTGTCCTTGCGTGCTGGAGGCAGAGGAGATACTAAACTGCTCGTCAGACCTCCTCTGGTTTTCCCTGCTTTCAAGACCATTGTGTAATGTTTCCTGACCAAGATGTATCTTCCTCTGCCTTACTCTTCTTGTATGCAGAAACTCTTTATTTGTTCAGAAACCTGCATGGTCAGAAATATCTAAGATTATTAAGAAAGAGAATCTCAGCTTTTAGAACTGTCTTATTACTGTCACTAAAATAATGTGTTCAAATGGCACCATAGGGAGGTGTATCAGAACTCGCAGAAAAGGATTACTTATTTGTTTCAGAAATTACAAGAGGTAGTTCAGAATCCAACCCATGAACTAGTTAACATTTTCTCAGGATGGCTGGTACTCCATCTGAGTAAAGGCTACCAGGGTTTCATGGTGGTTCTTCTAATAAACAAATAAGTAAAATATTTGGGTTGGAAAGACAAGAATGCTATCTTAAGAATGTTATCTTAAGAAGAAAAATACTTTGTAACTAGATCATCATTGGTAGTAGCAGTTGCAGTGAAAGAGATTTAATCATAGCGAAGAATAATTAATTTGTTCCTTATTCTTCAGTTATTTTTCAGAAAGACCATACCTCAGAATATCAAATTATGACACAGAGATTCTAAAATTAATAAATGAACTGATTTCATCGAGAAGGTCCTTCTAGAGAAAAGGGAGAAGTTTAAAACATTAATTTCTGAGGATCAGTTGTGAAAAATTTTTCTTAGAGGAAGTAAATGTTGCAGAAATAGCACTTGTTTCATTACCACCTCTGTGACAAAGCTCAGGGACTCTTCTCTTTGGAGAACTGTGTCTGTTCTTCAAGACCTTGAGCTTGAAGGTTTTAAAATGTTACTCAACTGTCTCTCTTTGAAGGATTCCTTATCCCCATTTCACTTTCCAGTGTGCTATTTTGTCTTCAGACTTAGCATATGAAAAATCCTCAGCTCAGACATCTATATTCATTGTCTGTTACGAGAAATTTAAGCAATCACCTATAAAGAAACACTTTCATTGCTACTCTGCTTTTGCTAAAATAAATTCACTTTTTATGTTGTCTCTAACATTTGCTTGGTAGTTGTCACTGCAAATGAACTTTTTAGAGGAGCTAGATCTTTACGCCCTTTCAAAGCCAAGTCAATTTCTTTTCATGATGGCTGGATTTAATAACAAACAGCTGGGTACTAGAAATAGTTGTCAGTTATTTCACACAGTTCATAAGAAGAGAAAGGAAAATAGGTGGAAATATAAATGAGATATATCTCACATAAGCTTGTAGAGGGAAAGCTGTCTCTTTCCACAGCTTTATGAATTTCACCCCACTACTGAGTCTCCAGGTCAGGATTATTACTGTAGTATTTCCAGTCCTAAATCTGTAGCTGCACAGCTGATGGGGAGCTTTTCTGTATGAGCTTGCACTGCTGTACTGCAGTACATCACCATACAGCAAGTGTTTGAAGTCTTGTGTAAATGGGGAAGTCAATGGGCTGCAAGATGAGGTACGACTTGGGAATGCTTCATACACCTCAGTCACTGCCCCAGGTGGGCTGTCAGTTGGCTGGCTGGCACTCTTTTCATGAAAAGTTAGGTTTCTCTTGAATTCTTTTTTTTATTGGCTACATTTTGTGATTCTGTGATTCTATAAATTACTCTAGAGCTGTCAACAAATGCTGATTGTGAACCTTTCTCTCATGTGGAAAGGCAAAGACTGAAGCGTCACTGTAGGATCTCTGTCCTGTGGCATAATACTGCTGCTTGTGGACTTTAAGTCATATTAAAGTTAATTTTTTATGTGTCATTTTCATTTTACTCCATTGCTAACTATATAAGCTACTCAAAAGCACTGCCACAGAAGGCCAGCCAAGAGTTAGATCTTTCTGTCTTTCTGCAAAAAAACCTTTAATGACTGGACTCTCTCTGTACACAGTACAAATGTTATTACTGTGAGGTTTTTGTTCTGCTGTTTGTAGCACTAATGGCTGGGATAATATTATTAGAGCTAATTGATGGAGGTGGGATGTGTTTTCTCTTTACCTGGCCACCTTCACTGTGATGCTGCCTGCATAAAAGATAAGTAACTTTAAACTTTTATTCAGAGGAAAATAAAATAGAGAAAAATATACATAGAGTGCAAGCACCAAGGTGTTCATTACTAGGGAATAGTGATTTTAATATTCCCTTGCATGTGGTTATTGTTAAGTTGCCACCATCCTCATCCTGGAATAATGATTCTGTGCTGACATGTTTTAGTGTGCTAAGAATCACTTTTGTTTCATGAAAGTCACAGGATAAAGAACTGAAGTGGAGAGGAAGAAACCTCTGGTCACTAGCTGTCTCCAGAAAGATGGGTGAAAGTTAAATCCCTCTTAATACTATAAGGGTAAAAATAACACCCGTGAGTTGGTGTGAAGCAAACTGTAAAATAAATGCCTTTAGTGAGGTGAAGATAAGTGGACCTCTGTCCAGGTATGTGCCAACTTCATGGGAAGGCATGCAACAGCAGAAAGTGCCAGTGGAGAGTGGAAAAGGTGAAATGCACGTCACTGAGAGATTGGGTTCCCTTGCCTGACAGGATATTATTTCAAAATCAGTTTGTTGAAACGGGATATTGTGTCTTTGCATTCTTGAGATATATCTGCAAGTGAAGCTTTCAATTTCTCAAAACTAACAGGTCTAGGGATATTTTCTTCTTTCCTCCTTCAGAGTCCCAGAATATTGTACAATATAATATATTTTGGGTTTCCTGTACAGTGTTTTTTAAAGAAAAGTTGTATTAAACTGGATTACATAAAATATTTTTAGTTCCTGTGTTTACTGTTCTCTCTTTAGAGATAATGCTAGATTGTATAATAAAATCTAGTTTGATATTAATTACTTATAAGCATCTCACCAAAAATACTCTTTTTAAAAAATACATGGTATTTCTGCCTTCATAAGGATGTTGTTCTAACATCTTAACAAATGCAGTACTATTAAATACCCAGACACCACTGATGGCTCAGGAAGTCCAAGAGCTGCAAACAGTTGGAGGCAGCAGGAATTTGGTGGGGGGGTAGAGTCAAATGACTGCCTTTTAATTTTCCCTAGGCTTTTAGTCACAGAGACCTTTTGATCTGACTCAGTGTTGCTGCTCATACATTAATGCTGACAATAAAAGACTGACGTTAATCCCTTCAAGGCCAAGAGTTCAGGTTGAGGCTAAAATCTAATTTACTAAATCCAAACCTGTGGTACCCTGTTTTTATTTTATATTACTTCTTGCTACTCTAGTTTTCTGAAATAAAAAAATTAATACTGATTACTACACCTCCTATTTAAAAAAAAAAATGTGTATCTTACACCTTGCTGATGAGTTTATGGCTGTAAGAAGTTTGTTTCTAAGCTAGTTCATTTAGCTGAACACAGGTATTTTGACTTCATGCTCGGGGTAGAGACTGATCATCTTCCTCCTTTTCGCACTGTATTTTATGTGTGGTCTGACTGTTCATTAATGTAATGTTGAGAAACACTGTATCATTCCCTAATAAAAAGCCAAGTTAGAATTCAGTCGAATGATGGCACAATAAATGGTCATGTTAGAAAAGAAATATAGGTTTGCTTTCCTTCCTAACAGTAAATCTAAATTTCTCTGCTTTGATCCAACATCCAGTTTACAGTTTCAAGATTGTGAGCCCACTGAAAGGTTAGGCTTTAAAGGTAAACTAGAACCAAACTCCTTCTTTTCAAATGTTAAATTCTACTGGGGCTGATTGTTTTGCATTTCTGTAGCGACACTGAATGGAATGAAGAAGATCAGTGGATTTTCCAGGCTGTTATCAATCAGTATCCAAGTGATCTTCAGAAGAGGACGAAATTGTGCCTCGATGTGCTGCAGAGATACCTTCCTCACAAACCTAGGCATGATCTGGTTAGTGTTGTTTTAAATAGTAGATCAATTATATAAATTCTTATATAAACCATGTAGTGAACATTTGTGTAAAAGCACGTTTATGAAAGTTTTTTGTTTAAAAATGTCTTTATTATAAACCATGTTCTACACAGTGAAGAAGGGATGTCCCTGTCTTCAAAATACATTAACTTAAAGCCTTATCACTTCTTCAGAATAAGCACCGTGGAGATTTTATACTTCCACATATTCTTACAGCTAAATTCACAGAATTAGTTTGTTAGCATTGCTTTTGCTGTACAATTTTATAGTTATGTCACACTATTCTGCTTCTCTTGGTATTTTTCTTTTTTGATAAGCATGTATAGCATTGTTGCACTGTCTAGGAATAGTTATTTTAATTGATCTGTGGCACATATATAGCAGAAAGAGTGAAAAGTTATCTCCGGCTCTCAGGGAGAGGCTATTTTTACATGCATAATGCCTTTCAATTTGATTGCTGATTCCTTTTACACTCCACAGTGAATAAGCACATAGCAGCTAATAGCGAAACCCATTTCAAGGCCAGAACTCTTCAGGATGTCATAAGTAAAGCAGGAGTCTTTTTTTATCTCTGCATGTATTTTTAGACCATCTACTTCCCTGTGTTTGAGGAATACCTAATGCAAGGGAATGGCAGTGAACTGATACTAATAATTAGCACAGTTTCATAAAAATTATGTTTCTTGTGGATTTCTGAAATTTTGCCTTTAAGAACTAGGCTAAATAATTATGTGCTTTGTACAGTGTAGTTATATTTTAAGCATAGTCATTATTAGTGGGTCTCCCTAATTCTTTGAATGTTCATTTTAAAATTTTAAAATTCTAAATTTAAAAATCATAATTCTGCATTGAATCAATACTTCTTAGTATGTATATTAGCGTGATAAATACAGAAATGTTTAAACAGTACTAAGAATCTGTTCTTAAAACATTTGTGTTACATTAGAATACTAAACTTAGAGTCTTCTGTGCCTCCTTCTGTCTGTAGAAGAATAGATGAGTCCTGAGTGCATGATCCAGTAGCAGAGCACAGAGATCTGTTTTAGAATTGCAAACTCCATCCCATTTCTTGCTTATGAGTGTCTCAGCTTTACATGCATGCTAGCGAGGCTCACTCAAGTTTGGGCAGCAATGGCAGTGTGAACTGCTGATGTGGTGGTGGATGTACATTTGATCAAAGAGAATCTACCTTATCTTCGTCCAGCTGTGAGCTGGTAGGAGTGTCTCTGAGCTGGGCACCAGATGCGTCAACAAACTCCATCCCTTGCTAAAAGCCTGGAAACTAGCACCAGGAATGGTCCCCTTGAGCAGCTAACTGTCTCTAGAATTTCCTTCATCCTGCTAACTTATGTTTGGTGGGATATAAGGCAGGTTGAAGACTCTAATGCCTTGGTTAGTACTCCCATCAAAGTCTTGAAGCTTGAACGTCCTTGGGAGCCTCACTGAATAAGGCTAAGGAAGGTGTTTTTAAGATTTAACGCTCGCCATTTTTGTTAGGTGGTGAAATTGGTGGTGGCAGTATGCTGCTTGGCAAGCTAAAAATCTGTTTCTGAATTTCCTGTTAGGAAAGAAAAAGCGAAGCTAACTTACACCTGTACTGCATTTGTACTATTGCCTTGTGTTCCTCTAGAGATTGTGATTTGTGACAAAAAGCCTCATTGTGCTTAAAGTGCTCAGTATCTCTGAAGATGTATTGAAAGGACCCACTTACATTTTGTATACTTTAGGGCAGGAAAGAACTGTTGAATTTAATTTATTTATATTGCAAAAGCATAGTTCATAACAGTGGGACAGCAGCATATTGAAATGCCATGTGGTACAGGCAGGCAGGGAAAGGCTGGAGTGGTATCACCGCCTACCAACACTGGGGGTCTGGCACCTGACAGAATATTTGTGGATTCCATAGGAATCTGGGTGATATAATGATTAAATCAATTTGCAAATTTGCAAAATCAGTTTGCAAAAATGTTTAGAATTATTTATGCATAGTTTTTAAACCGTTCTGAAATGCTTTACTTTTTTAGGTTGTTCATAAGAAAGCTTGGGATCATTACCATTTGATTAGGAGTCGGCGCAGAGCCTTGATATTAGATTGGGCTCAAACTAGGAAAGCCTTTTTACTTAAGGCAGTGACAACTGCTGCTGAAGCCTCAGCTGCTCATGAGATGGAAGTAGTGCTGGCTAACACCAGACAAAAGCAACTGGAGATTTGTGCTGACCTGAAAGCAAAGGTAGGTTCAGTTACAAATCTACCACATACAAATCTGGTTTTACTCATAAATTTAAAACAAAGTTACAGTGTTTAAGTGAAGAAAAACTAACTGAAGCCAGTTGTCATCTTCTTTTTACTGGCCTGATGGAATTGTTTTGGGTAGTTAGGTGAAAAAAGCAAACTATAATCTGTTGTCAGGGACCAGCATGTTTGTGAAGCTGACTTGCAAATGCTTCTGAAGATGCTCTGTGCCATTACTAGTAAGGATCCTTGTTAGTGTTTCAATCAGCTCTTTACCTTAGTTTGTCTTTCTTTTTTTTTAATTAAGAATTTTGATTAAGAATTATCCATCACACTTTAGCCCTTACTGTTAGTTTCATAGTGTGGGTATAATCTCTGTATAAACTGTGATCACATTCAGTTTGATGGATTTTGAATTTCTGTATAAACTGCAATAACATTTAGTTTGATGGGTTTTGAGCACCATGGAAGAGTTTGAACTGTGTGTCAGTATTGGAAGAACAAGATTTGTTCTGCAGCTCACAATATGAGAGACTAAGCAAACTACAGGAGTAAAGATCTGGCACCATATTCATGGGTTCCTTTGTAACATTAGCAAATTGCACCATATTTGTGTGCTTCTGTTTCTTCCTCAACAAAGTGGGATTTATATTTATACTGTCTGAGGATTTTTTTGTAATTGTTTTTAACACTAGAATCCTCAGAAGTGAAAGTGAAAGGTTGCATTCATCATCACTACCATCAGTTTTTCAGATTAATGCTAGTCTGTTTTCAGAGAAATCATGAATGTCAGTCTTCCCTTCTGTTTATTTTTAAGAATGCTTTCTAAGACCTGAACAAACGGATCCCATAACTTGTTTGCCCTTGTTATAGAGGCATCACAATATTCTGAAAGGCAATTTACTGTGTTAAGAGGTGGTGAAAAAAGAGATAAAAATGCCGTGTGTTTTGGTTTTTTTGGTCCTTTCTTTTTGGTGGGGGGGGAGGGGGCTGGAGGGGGTTGTGGTTGGTGGGTTTGTTTGTGTTTGTTTTGTTTGGTTTTGGTGGTTTTTTTTTGGGGGGGGATGTTTAATTCTAAGAGAGTAGAATAAAAGGGGAGGAGCCTGGACACACAACGGAAGTGTTATGGTGTTGATGCCTAAGGCATTTGTAAGGGGAATCATATTTTTGGGCACGAAAGGCATGTTAAGATTTGTTCTGCTGTCTGTGATTTTCCACTTGCACAGAAAGTGTGTTATTCTCACTTTACCAATGTTACCTGTGTTGCACCCTTTTCAGCAAAATACTGAGCACTTGATTTTGATTTTCTACAAGTAGAAAAACACAGTAAAAACAGTACTGTGATGAAGACTTCTGATGCCGATACTAGGTTTTCACTACATGAATAATACAAAAAACCCTTCTGTCTCCTGTTCCTGGAGCCTTCTGTCATAGAAAGGTTTGAATCTAAACAGTTCAGGGTTAGAAACTGTCTGAGCTTGTCTAAGTGAGGAGTACCCCATTTTAACTCCTTTAGCAGGCTTCCTTGGGGCCAGGTGGAGTGAGGAGGGGCTTTCCACAGCTGGTATGGTTTTGGGTTTGGTTTGGTTTGTTTTACGTAGGTCTCCCTTTCTGGAATTGCTGTGTGTCTCTTATCTGCACAATTAGAGGTGGAAGGGCCATTTATTCCAGAACTGTAAATTTCTGAGTTGGTCTTTTCCCCCCTCCCCCCTTCCTTAAAAAAAGTAACAAACAAGTGTTTGGAGTACTTAAGGTTGTCTTTATGTAGCTTAAGATACCTACTGATGCACTGAACATTGTCTGAAAGTTCTTTGGATTCTGACCTCCTGTTTCCTGTGACCTGGAACTGTTTGAAACTTAAACCTGTTTGGCCTTCGCTTTTCAAGAGTTGCTTTCAAAGGTGGCCTTGTTAAAATGTTGAACAATTGAACAAAAACAATTCATCTGTTTCCCAGAAAAGAGGAATGAAAAAGGTCATTTTTTTCATTAAAGAAGGATATCACTGTGACCTTGTTTTGATCAGCTCCACATCTGAGAGGGATAGAGGATGGAAGTTGAAATTGGGCAAGGAACTAGCTGTTTTTCAAAGAAATTATTCTGAATGTACACATGGGTTTTGTTTAGATTTGATGGGTATATGCATTTGAGAACTCACACTTTAGCCAGTAAACCATTTAACCTGTTTTACTTTAAAAGGGTTTAAAAGGGATATCTTTCTGTAAATTTCTATGCTGCTTTGAGTTTTTAGGCTTTTTCAAATGAGTTCTTTGTGCATGAAAATCAGTTTGTTCCTAATTGTAGTATAGATTGAGCAGTGCAAAAGAGAAAATATTCATATGTGACAGGCTATGCATTTTTTTATTACTGCAATAACCACATGATACCACCTAACTTTTATATAGTTCTTTCCATCTGTGGACAGTAAACCAACAACACAGCAAACAGACTAAATAAGACATTGATTAAAGCTGTTTCAAATGCACTAGAAGCAGCTATGCCACCAGCCCTTGTGACTGACGAGGAGTGATAACAATTAAAAAGTAAAGCAGCAGAGAAGTTAAATTAGTATTTACAGCTTTTTTTTACTTGCAGAAAGGGCTTTCAAATTCTTCTTCCATGTTCTTTCTCTCACAAGATCAATGTGTGTCCTTAACAGAAATCAGAGTTTCTAAGGAGGAATTTGGAAAATCTCAAGACGCTCAGGTGAAATAAATCGTGAGTGCCATCTGGTAATCTTGTGAATGAAATAAAGAATGAAATGGGTAACACTAGTGAGGATATACTGTACATTCTTAAAGAGGAAATGCTTCTTGTAGATATATATCTTTAACATTCCTGAAAACAAACTAAAGAAAAACAGACAGTGTTACACTTTCAATGACTGATCAAGAATCACCCATGTTTGGTATGCTTTATGGATTTAACCACTTTCAGGATTCTGTAGTAGTTGCTGTGTAAAAAGTTTCTCTTTCTGTGTAAAATTCCTCTTTCCCGACAACATAGTGAAGCAAATTCTTCTATGTCACAAGGTAGTTAAGAAGTAAAGTGAGAGTGTGATTTTTTTAAAAGGGTCAGAAGGGTGCTGCTTCACAATTGGTGGTTGAAGAATTGAAGTACTTGCTGTAATACATTCAGAAATATAGTCAGGGTACCTGCATGCATTCAAACCATTATTTTTTTAATTGAATTTATCTTAAAATACTTATAATTCAGTACTTTTATCTTCATATATATAAAAAAAAAACACTCAAGAGAAAACCTACACCAGTAGACAAAAGGACAGCTGAATCTTCTGTGTTTGATGCATAGGATGGGCTGCCCCTTCCTTAGCATAAAGCTATGTGCCTGCCATGCCTTTAAATCTTTCCTCTTTCTCTTTTTGTGTTCCAGGATTAATTTCCGCTTCAGAGCTAAAATCCCTTGCACACACTGTGAATTTTTGGAGAGCAACTCTTGCATTCCTTATCCTGGCAGAAACAAAGATAAATTAATTTCAAAAAGAAAAAAGTTAGGTGGAATTAACTGGGATATTGCAAAATCATATAAAGCCTGTTGCATGTCGCCTTCCTTCTCCCTTCCTGCATGATAAGAAGAAAGATGTGTCAGTAAACTCAGGGGAAAAATGTTGTATCTCCCTATTGGGCATGTGGTCAGGTCATTGTTTGGAATTATTTGACTGCCATAGGAGACATCAACATTGAAATATTACAACTGAATGTAAAAAAATTAAAAAGTCTGGATGAGCATCAAACCTAGTTCTTTGGCCATAATCTGGTCATTTTTCAGGATTTTTTATTATTTATTTATTTAAATAGTGGGATATTTAAAAGAAAAGTTTTCTTTTTCAGAAGCATTGTTTATTCACCACTGAGGTGACCCATTCCTTTGTTGTATATGAGAAATATCAGGAAGTTTTAATGATGTCAGTTTTAAATACAGATACTCATTCAGGCAATATGTGGTAAAACTAAGAGTTGTAGGATGCTGTAGTATGTCTCAAAAGTGGATGTGAGCAAATATCTAAAATTTTCAAATTCACCAAAGACGAGCTCACTCTGTCTCTGTAGTATGTTTTTAATCCAGAGCGATAAACCTGGATTTATTAGTTTGAGGTCAATATAGCATTGATGAATTTCATGGCTCTGGGGTCAGATAAAACGCATATGCAGTAAGCTGGAAGCACATGCAGAGATTGTCCCTGCAAATTTCCTTGCCTTCCCTTTCACCCTTCTTTTTCTCACCCGTTTCCCTATACCACATTCTATCACATGATACTGTTATTTCTGAATCTATCAACTGCTCTACTGAAATCTTCTCACAATGTATTACCTAGCATTTTGCCTGAATACACCACAGATTTCAGGGGTTACATTTGCTCTTTGTTATGGTGGTGCAACCGTAAGGCCACAGTAAAAAAGCAGAAATATTTTTGTAACTTCACTCTCTCTCAGTACACACACAACAGAAGTAGTTGATAAACCTATGAAGTATGTAGAAAGCAAGCATTCACTAAATTTTAAGCTAGAAATGAAAAAATAATTGGCCTTTTTGCTAATTAAGGAAAAGTCATTAACAGAATACAAAGATAAATAATCTGATGCTCATTATATTAACCAGATTCTTACAGTGTATTTCAGAGGGGTTTAGTAAATACTAATGCAAGAGAAACAGGAGTTCAGACTTCAGCTATTGCGTGTTTCATAAATTACGTTTGCAGTGTAATTTATCACCACACATTCATTCTACTTCCACTGAAATTGTTATATTGTAGCTGCGCACAACATGCGAAGTTTAACTGTGTGAGGCAATGTGCAGGTGACTGCAGATCAATGGAGCTATTGACTTCCCAGCTGGGCCACAGGAGTGGGTGCCCTGCACTGTGCCAATTGCATGGGAAGTGTCTTAGTTTAAACGGCCTTCATAGTTTGCTCTAGCATTATGATTATAATTTATGCTATATAAGACAACATACAAAATGGAAAATACTTTCTTTGTTGA